CTGTGGTCACTCTCCATGCAGCATCAATTATGCTAATGCTAGCTGCCTGTCACGTTCTCTCGTCCTGGCCACACCTCCGCTCTCTAACCCCCCCTCCTCCCCCCCAACTTTGATGCATTTTTCAAATTTCGCCTTGGGGCGGAGTTATCTTTTCACGGGGGGGGGGGGGGTAGTAAGATACACTTTAAATTAACATATGCGACCTTCTCTGACAACAGAATCAGCAAAGGCTTGTATGCATGCTATGATTTTCAGCCATATAGCCTACTGTTACACTACCTTCAGAGGCCATTTTGAAACAGTTAAAGTCTCTTTTTAAGAAAACTATTAAAATTCTTGACAAAAAGCCTTTACAGTATCCTTATTGTAACATCATACGGCAGTACAACCTTTTGGATTTTGATAGTTATCAGTTTTTATGGATGATTGTCTTATTTTTAAAGTTTTAAATGGACTTGCTCCTCCTCCTTTAATGTATTTTATAAGGAAAAAACAAACAAACAAAATCTGTAGATTGTAATGCACGTCGTACAGCACTAAGTTTGGCCAAATGGTGGTGTCCATCAGAGGCACACACTGCCAGCTCATACCAGGAACTGAGGCACCTGCAGCTTTAAAAATGATTTAAAACATTGTGCTAACGCTATGGAGCTATATTGGGGTCAAATGTTTTGTTCAAAATAAAAAAAAATTGAAACTGAAAAATATTTTTGAAACTGAAAAGACAAGATGTTTGAAATTTTTCCAGATTGTAATGCATTGTTTTTCAGTTTCAAATGTTTTTTTTTCCAGGTTCAAAAATATTTTTCAGTTTTAAATCTCCTTTTTTTCAGTTTCAGTTTTTTTTTATTTTGAACAAAACGTTTGACCCCAATTTAGCTCCATATAACTCCAGCATATTTACGTTGATGCTTACTGCTGACATGTTGATTAATATGCATTGTCCTAATCTAAATAAAAATAAAATAAAAAGGCTAGCTATACTAATGCTAAGCTAGCTAATTGCTTCCCACTCTGGCCGACTTGCAACCTGCGCAGGTGTACCCAGCAGATTACACAAAGATTGCTGGAGACGAGCATCCGGCCCCTGCAACAAAAAGTGGATGAAGAAGAAAGATGGATGAAAGATTAGCTCACCAAGCTAACCTAAGCTAAGCTAACTAATTTCCTCCCCCTCTGGCTGCAGTTTTCAGCTAGAATGAGTTAGCTAAGCTAACTCATTTCAGGTCACTCAGTCAGGATAGGCTAATTGTGATCTTCACTCAGGCTGATTTTAGAACACTGAAGCCTTAATATGTATTTTTTGTCACTTTTCCCAAGCTAACATGCTAGTTAACAGCTGGATTTGAGCATAAAAGACCAAACTGTACAGAACCACGCATCCCATCCCTTCACTTTCTGTCTCTAAACAGTTCAAGCTAAGATAAGATAACTAATCTAAGCTAACTGCTCAATGTAGCATCCTTTTACACAAACATACAACCTGGATCTTTATTTTTGTTCCTGTTTTACCAAAGAAACTAAGTAACTGTGCTTCTTAGAGAGTTTTCAAGGAAAGGCCTTTAATCAGTTGACCTCTAATAAAGTCAGCGGGGTCGAGGGTTAGCTTCCACTGTCAGTGCTAACGCTGCAGCAAGGTTAATGTTTATTGAATGGAAGAAAATGTAACGGACCCAATGAACAGCCTTCTGCTGCAGACAATACACCTTGAGCAAACACACACACCCCAGGTTTGATAAACTTATCTGCTGATTATTGACTTTTTTTCCTTTTAGCTGAGCGACTTTATGAATAAAAGCGATGCCTGAAGGACTTTAAACGGTCCAGTTTTTAAAAACTCTCGCTATTGGAACCGTTTGGTTTTATTAACCCCTGTATGACCTATTTCCTCATAAAAATACACTTTATTCATGAGGTGTGGTTAGCAAACAATATTAAATGAGATTAAAATGTGTTTTTGTGTTGCTAATATGGATTAGCTGTGGCAGCCATCTTGGATCTGGTTTTTTTATGAGTCGTAGATTTTAATCTAATAATTACTTTGAGAGTTTCATTAAAATCTGTCTAATAGTTTATGAGATATTTTGCTAACAGACATTGAGGGGCAAGGTTAGGCCTATTTTATTTATTTATATAGGATGACTCTCAGCTACTACCACTCTAAATTATAGCTCAACATTGGGACAGAGTTGTTATTTTTGTAATTTGTTGTAATTTTTAGTC